GAAATTTCAAGTGATTAGGCTGCTACATCAGTGAGTCTACTCAACGAAAAGGTGATGACGGCTACCTCAAGAACTGCAGGACGGTCTTTAGGGAGGTACTGACAGACAGACTTCAAGACAAGCTGGGTTCTGCACAGCCAGAGGTGCAATCATCAGCTCCCTCTCTCTACGTTGGGTTCGCCGATTTCCAGAAGGCTTTCGATTCAGTCTGCACTCGGACTAGCCAAAAAATGGTGGATAAGTGCAAAGACTACAAAATATAACTATTAGTAAGAAGATTCACAATATCACAAACAAATTCGAAATCAAATAATATGTGTTACCGAAGCTATTCAGAGCAAAAGTAGAAAAGAGCATCAAGAACCTCCATTGAGAAAATTAGGACTGGATATAAACGAACACTGTTTAAGCCATAGACAGTTTGAGGACTACGTTCCGATCCTCTTGAGGTTATCACTCAAGAGCTCCAAAAAATCTAAGAGCTGAACGACGGCAGCGAAAATGAACCTGAAGAAGATTCAGGTCATATTTAACAAAATGCTGTGAAGTAGAATTCTATTGACTTAGATTTTGAGATGCAAAACTAGTTTTCTCTTGAACTGAAAAGTAGAAGAGTACAAATCCCATTGAGTACTTCTGATAACTGAAAATGGTTTTCTCTGAGAACCTGCCCTTCTGCCTGGAATGGACGGTCTTTGATCAGTGAGCGCTATCAATGCCATCAATGCTAGCCGATGGATGCTATACTTGAACTGTAAGCTTAAAAACCTTTCATGACTGCATGGAAGCATATATGTTCGGAATAGCAAAAAAAATATGAAGACAAATCGATGGATAAGAGCACATACAAGAGTCTGCGATTTCATTGCACGAGTGAAGAAGTGGAAGTGACAGTGGGAGGACACGCTACAATCAGAGTCAACCAGCGCTAAACTGGCGAGACATTTGACTGGGTTCCAAGGGAGAGTAAACTGCCAGTCGGAGGGCCTCCAGATCGATGGAATGATGATTTGAAGAAGTTTCTTGGATCAAGACGGATCAGAATTTCAAGAAACAGAAGTTGATGGGAAAATCGTGGAGCTAGTTTCATACAGCCGCAATTTGAAAAGGCTGATGATAATTATACGGTGATGCTTTATTATGATACCCTCTTTTCTTCTATTCCTTCTTTCCTCAAGTAATTTCTTTCACAGACGCGTTCTGTACCTGTCGCTAAAGCTTCACCGGCTTCTGCTACGGTGAAAAATGTGATACAGTAATAATTTAACAGAGGCTATGAAATGTCCATTAATCTGGAGAAGGGCAATGGAGCATTAAGTAATTTTCTTTTACTAACTGCTAATTCCCTTAACTGAGGAATTCACCCACTATGCTTCCGTGCAACCAGCTGAAAAAACAGCAGCAGGTCGTTGGTTTGCGAATAGTGGGTACAATATGGTGCTTTGCTGTGATCATGCTGAAACGCTTTACGGCTTCAATTGGCCTTGACTCACTTTATGGCTGACTAAAAGTCAACACAAGGTGCAAACTCAGATCAATTAAATTAAATTTGTCAGCATGGAAATACAGCTTCAGTGAAGTTTACGATGTTTAAAATTTTAGCTCACTCGGAGTTACAGGATCAGTTGGCGCATTCGAAGCTATTACTTTTGACTCATTTAACTTTCCTCTCAAAAACAGCCATTAACGAGCTTCGTATCGCCTTATTTATTTAGGCAAATGCGAAGCGGTGTGTTGTTCTGCGGAGAGAAAGCCTCAATGCTACTGTCCCCTATGCGTGCGTACCGTATCATATGCAGAAGTTTTTCGACATTTCGTACCTCTCTGCTGTCGCAGGAACCATAACAGCCGACGGTGCTTATGCTACCTGTGCATTTACGTCCATTCGTGTCGAACTTTTCGACCAGAAATCTGATTCGTCGCAGATGGCATCCGATCGGTGCACTTGTTGGCTGACCTGGCGTGACCACAAGGCCACATGCGAATATCGCACAGGAGCAAACGACGAATGCGTCCAAGAACAGTAGCGTTCCTGCGCTGGCCATGGCAGCGTTCAGGCAACAGCACATCCGCTGCCATTC